CCCATCAATATGGGTATTTTTGGAATCGGGGTGACGTTTGAGAAAAAGTTGTAAATTCTATCAAATACCCATACAAACGGTTTTTTTTTTTATAGAATCAGGGTTACGTCTAGAAGCCGGAAATCGATATTCGACGCAATTTTGTAATCCAAGACGGCAGCTTCCGATTTGGGGAAAATTGATTCCGATTTGCCGAAAATTGATGTCACGCCGTCTTTAAATCAAAGATGACGGCTTTGGTTTGTGAAATACTGTCAAATACCGATCAATGTGGGTTTTTTGAAATCGGGCTGACATCTAGAAGCCGGAAATCGATGTCCGACGCCATCTTGAAATACAAGATGGAGGCTTCCGATTTCAGTAGAAATGTCTAATAGCCTGCAAATGGTATCGAATATCAATTTTCAGCATCTACGCATCATCCTTGGTCCAAAAATACCCAGATCTTAGAGTATCTGACACTTTTTGTTAAACCCGATGCCCGCCATATTGGATTCCAAAATGGCATCGGATATTGATTTTCGGCATCCACACGTTGTCCCTGTTCCGAAAACAACCATATTTTAGGGTATTTGACACTTTCTGATCCCTGATGGCCGCCATATTGGATTCCAACATAGCGTCGGATATCGATTTTCGGCATCTACGCGTTGTCCCTGTTCCGAAAACAACCATATTGTAGGGTATTTGACACCCAATGGCCGCCATATTGGATATCGGGTATCGATTTTCCGCAGCCACGCGTTGTCTCCATTCCGAAAATACCCATATCTTAGGGTATTTGACACGTTTTATGAAACTTGATGGCCACCATCTTGGATTCCAACATAGCGTGGAATATCGATTTGAATTCCAAAATGGCGTCGGGTATCGATTTTCAGCATCTACGCAGCATCCCCGTTCCGAAAACCCGATGGCCGCAATATTGGATTCCAAAATAACGTCGAATATCGATCCGAAAATACCCATATTGTAGGGTATTTGAGACTTTCCCTGACCTTGATGGCTGCCATCTTGGACTCCAGAATGGTCCCGTTAATTTAGTTTTCGTTTAATATGAAATAATATATTATTACTACATATAATCCGGATGCCATTCCTATCGGCAACCGATATTGTGTGGATACTATCCGGATACTATATTTTGATGCCTGCGTTGTCAGGTCGTGACAAGTCGAATGAGCTCCGAATTGAAGTGAAAGTGAAAAAAATGAAGGAAACAGTTTTCGAGTCATTCATTGCGTCAATTGAAACAAGTCTTTGCTTCAAATGAAATGAACTGAAGCACTTGACGAACGAAACAAGTGATAGTCCAGTCATGTTTGAAAAGAGGAATGTTCATCGTGACTCGATAACAAGAAACACTATGACTTAAACGAAAATGATATTCCTCGAAATGAAACGATTCTGCGGAGAGTTCATTTTCTTTTCTTTGTTTCGAAAATCATTTACCTAATCAAGAATCCTTACACATGTCAAATGAAATCAAAATAATCATTTACTATATTCTCACGTACACCATCCGATAAAGAGTTTGATCCGCGGTATACGGTAAAGACCGTAAATCATGGAGGTGGTAGCATCATGGTTTAGGGCTGTTTTTTTGTATGGAGTGGGTCCCATTTTCCGTATTAATTCCATCATGACCAGATTTGAATACAAAGAAATCATGGCGGAGGTTATACTCCCTTATGCAGAAGAGAACATGCCTCTTGTATGGCATTTACAGCACGACAACGATCCGAAACACACTTCTAAGTATGTAAAGGAGTGGTTTTGTGCAAACAAAGTGTCGGTTATTTCATGGCCTAGCTAATTTTCTGACATGAACCCCATCGAAAATTTATGGAACGAGCTTAAAAGAAAGTTATCTGGACAAGCATTTTCAAATACGGATCAACTATGGACCACAGTTCAAAAAGAGTGGTATGCTATACCAAAGGAAACTTTTCAGATCTTGGTTGAGTCAATGCCTAGAAGTTTGAACAAGGTTCTACTTAACAATGGAGGGCACAGCGGTTACTAAGCGTCATTAGCTTAATAAAACTTATACGATTATTTTCAAGCTTCTATACTATAGTTTTATGCAACATACCTATTTCACTGACCAGGCATATTTTATATTTGATCCTAATGAGTGAGTCATTTAATGTTTTAACTTTGAGTTTTCTCGTGCAATTACTTAATTTCTATTACACTATTTATTAACTTTAAAGTAAAGTAAAATGAAGTTGAATGAAAATACCCTAAAATTTCGCATTTAAAGGGTGATACGGTCAAAATTTGGTCAATATCAACTTGACGTATTTCTTTCAATTTTGCATTTAAAAAACCTGAACACCCCTCATTTTCAAGGTGTGTGTGTGTGTAGAATGTTGCTCCTATTTTGATTTTGGAATTCACTCTTCAGTTGTCAAAATGCCGTCCAAGCAAGAAGAGCAGCGTATCAAAATTTTGCTCGCGCATCGCGAAAATCCGAGCTACTCGCACGCAAAGTTGGCAAAATCGCTAAAAGTTGCCAAATCAACCGTTACAAATGTAATTAAAGTGTTTGGGGAACGTTTGTCGACAGCCAGGAAGTCTGGATCGGGGGAAATCGAAAACCGGAAGCCGCTGAGACGACAAAGAGAGTTGCCGGTAGTTTCAAGCGAAACCCTAACCTCTCTCTCCGAGATGCCGCAAATAAGCTGGGTGTATCGTCTACAACCGTGCATCGAGCCAAAAAACGAGCCGGACTATCGACTTACAAGAAGGTAGTGACTCCAAATCGCGATGATAAACAAAATACGACGGCCAAAGCGCGATCCCGGAGGCTGTACACGACGATGCTGACGAAGTTTGACTGCGTGGTAATGGACGACGAAACCTACGTCAAAGCCGACTACAAGCAGCTTCCGGGACAGGAGTTTTATACGGCAAAAGGAAGGGGAAAGGTAGCAGATGTTTTCAAGCACATGAAACTGTCAAAGTTCGCAAAGAAATATCTGGTTTGGCAAGCCATCTGTACCTGTGGCTTGAAAAGCAGCATTTTCATAGCTTCCGGGACTGTCAACCAAGAAATTTACGTGAAAGAGTGTTTGAATAAACGTCTGCTGCCTTTCCTGAAGAAACACGGTTGTTCCGTACTGTTTTGGCCGGATTTGGCATCTTGCCATTACGGTAAAAAGGCCATGGAGTGGTACGCCGCCAACAACGTGCAGGTGGTTCCCAAGGACAAGAACCCTCCCAACACGCCAGAGCTCCGCCCAATTGAGAAATACTGGGCTATTGTCAAGAAGATGAACGGAATGTTGCAAATTATCGTAGACTCACCTCCCTATGTGCCTGCTCAAAACTGTTCGAGATTATCATAAATGATGCTCTGTTCACATGTTCAAAAATTATATCGATATAGAGCAACACGGCTGTTACCCGAAGCGCTCCGTGTCCACGAACCTGGTGCAGTTTACTTCTAACTGTTTGCGATGCATGGATTCAGGATGGCATGGCACCTTAATATCTTGCTTGCCAATCTGGAGATACTTAGCGTCTCGTCAACGGCCGTGGATTGGTTCAGATCTTACTTGGTGAAGATTGGCGCGTCGGAATCGGATGTTTTCTCAAACAACTCGGGAGTTCCGCAAGGCAGTAACCTAGGACCGCTACTGTTTTCGATCTTTTTAAACGACGTCGCCTTTCTGATACCATCAGGATGCCGCGTTTCCTATGCAGACGATACAAAAATCTACAAAATTATTAAAAGTCTCTTGGACTGTTGGGATCTCCAGAATATGTTAGGTATATTTGCTGACTGGTGCTCAAGAAATTTGATGAGTCTAAGCATCGAAAAATGTAACATTATTTCCTATCACCGAAAAATCGAACCAATCATGTTTGACTATGTTCTCTACGGACGCTGTCTTGCTGGTGTAGAGCACATAAAGGATCTCGGCGTTACCTTGGACTGCAGACTCACTTTCAGAATCCACTACAATGACATCATCTCCAGAGCTAATCGACAATTGGGCTTTATTTTCAAAATTGCCGCCGAGTTCCGTGAACCGCTATGCCTCAGGTCACTCTACTGCTTGCTTGTGCGATCCTTATTGGAGTCAACTTTAGTTGTTTGGTGCCCTTTCCATGCTAGCTGGATCACAATTGAATTGAATCCGTTCAACGTTTCCTCAACTGGCGTAACCCAACAAACTTGCCACCGTACGAGGAGCGTTGCCGTCTCCTGGGAATCGAACCATTAGAAGTGAGATGAACGGTCTCTTAAGCTATGTTCGCTGGAAAGCTACTTACGGGTGACGCGTTGCGTGTCACGTCTACTCTGAACGCGGCCTTACAGTGAGGAAGCAACGGTTCCATAACAACGAGTTCGAACAATTTAGCAACAGCGCTAAGCGAGTTGATCCAACGGTAGTTGCCAACGTCTTGTTTGTTGCCCTTCTTGTATACTGGAAACATGTGCGCTACCATCCAACAGGAAAGGAACCTTGACGTCCACGGACCGTTGAAAAACGTGTAGCAGTGGAGACAACAAACTGACCAAGTGCGTTTTGAGGAATGCCGATGGAATTCCGTCAGGACCCACATTGTACGACGAATTGCGTTTCGAGGAAGCCCTGGAAAACATCTCGGGATTGATATCAATTCTGCTCATGGAAATTCTTGGCAATCTTAGAGATGAAGCCAAGTTGACGATTAGCCTTGGAAAAAATTATATCAGGCGTGGATAAGGCCACGTTTCCATTATGTATCATAGATGATCCAGCTTCATGACGTTGTTCGTCGACAGACTTCCAAAACTGCTTGGGACGTGACTTAAGTTTCTCTGCAATCCAGGTCGATACTGAAGAAAGCACCGTTACGCAACTTGTTTGTATTCGTGATTGATCCTGTCATAGTGACGTTGAAGGGATAGCTTGGGAAGTAAACCTACATGGGCTGTAATATCATAATGTTAACGACTAACTAAGGGCTGTGATATCTCCACCACTCTCGGCAAACAAGGCTCGTCTATTCTGCAATACTACAGGTACTCTAGGTAGGGTCCTCGGAAAGTGTATGTGTTGGGTATGCTTAATGTGTATTTCAATTCTCTTCTTCTCATAATAGATTTTAGGTTTTCCTCTTTTACAAAGAAGTGTGCGAGTCTAGTAATAATATCTACGCGATGCTGTATACTGTTTATAATAATAGAATATTGTTCCTACTGACAGCCGAGCAGATTGCACTTGATAACGCCATGATTTTGCACAATGTTCATATTGACTTTGTCCACTTTGGGTTGGTTCTGATCGTCTTCTTCTGATCCTTCTGCTCCTTCTGCCGCAACCGGGCGCTGGAATGCATCCTTCGGAATGATGAACGCTGACCGCTTAGCGAAGCTCTGCACCCGTTGGGTGCTGAGGAAATCCTTCTGCGGCAGAAATTCGATCTGATAGTAATACAATATGGCATGGATATGTTTCGGATTCGTTGGTTCATTGAGAGTCAATTCCATTGTCGCTTCGTGGAGCTTCCCATCAAAGTACACCTCGGCCAGCTTTGTCGGTTCGGAAAGGTTCCCGTAGGTGAATGGGCCAAGATCGAGGTGATTCTCCGTTTCCAACGTGGAAAGATACCGGTCGATGTGGAACTGGTGCAGTTCCGGGTTCTCCACGCGGCAGCACTTTACGATCCAATCGGAATGGATAATGCTGCCGTGCAGTTCCACCTGCGAGGGGACGATGGATCCGATGGGTTTGAGTTTTGGGAAGAGTGATTGGTACTGGCAAAAGTGTTCGCTATTGATTTGACCGAATACATCAACTGGCTGGAGGATGATTAGATCCAGTGTGTAATCGTTCAGGAGGAATGCTTCGGGCAGAGAACTTAGCAGCATAATGGCAGACATTGGAATGTCGTTTTGATTGGCGAGAAATTCAATCAGATCTTCAGCTCGATCCAAACAGAAAAGCATGGAGGTTTTTCCCTCTTTGAGTAGTTTCAGTCCCGCATAAGGGAAGAGTGATAAATCAAGAACTTTCTCTAGGTCATCCAACGGTTCGGTATCAGTGGTCAATTTAGTATAATATTCAGAGTCATTTAGAAACTCCAACACGTGTTCGTCAATGCAAATTTGATTATCCATGGAATTAAGATTGTGGGTGATTGCAAGGGATCCATCCTTGCACGACATAGCCAGCGGCAGTCGTTGATCTTTGGTTACCGGGAGCCTTTGATTCAGCTTAAATATCGCTTGATTCCAGCAAGTGTTGGCTGTTGGATCTGTGCTTATCTTATTTTCATCATCCAACATGAGATCGAACCAAACAACGAAGCCATCCAAAATGCCATCTTCCGAACAAGTTAGCTCGAACTTACACTCCTCCAGCCCTTCCTGGCAGCGCTCCAAACACTCGAGATCATTAAAATCGACCGTCATCGTACAGACGGTATCCGTAACGAAGTCAAAATCGTCGTTTGCCTTAATTCTACTAACATCCTCGGCGTCGTAGCCCTTGATTCCTTCGCGCGAAATCAAACAATTGCTCGGTAGATTAAAATCACTGCTAAAAGCTTCGTTGATCAGAATATTGCTTGCGGTTAGTGCACGTGACCTGTAACCGGACACGTGCAAAATTACTTGACTAGGTATGATCTGCCCTTCCGGCAGCAGCAGACTCTTCTTCGCATGGATCAAGGTCTCCAAAATACCCTCCCCAAATGCACCCGAATCCAGCGTCTCGGTCACGATCAGCGAAAACTTGTCTCCGATCTTTAAATCCTGCGAGAAGCTCTGAAACAGACAAATCTTATCGCTCAACCCATTCGCTCCGAAAACATCCCGAGCTATCTGCACCATGATCTCCGATCCATCGCAAGCGGCCACCTTCCGGATACCGTCGCAGTTCAGCGCATACAGCGACAGCAGCCCGGTTCCGGTTCCAATATCCAGCACCTCGCCGTGGCCGGCTTTGATCTGGTTCTGGATCGCTGCCCGGTAGGCAGCATTCCGCACCTCGTCGTTCAGCATCCGAAAATGCCATCGCTCGACCAGCTCACACTTGGTGTTCTGGAGGTTTTGATATGCCTTTAGATACTTGGGCTCCTGCAACAGGACCCGCTCGAAGCAGATCGATGCTTCCAATGAGCGACCATAGCTAGTGGAGTGCGCGAAATGGGCGTCCGTGCGGAAAATGGAAAATATTAATGATCAAGAAAATGGGTTTTCATTATTAAAATATACGAAATTAATAATCGATCGAACTTAGGCAAACAAAAAACAACAAAAATTATTCCAGAAATTCAGATTTTTTCCAAGAATGGCTGAAGAAGTTTTTAAGAATTTTGACTTCCAAGCAGGGTGTAAAATTATTGACTGCTTAGGCTTTTCAATTCATTTCTCTATCCAGACTACCCAACAGTAGAAGAAGAAGCAGTGAAAGAGCCAAAAAACTATTCAGTCACTAACGAACAGGCGACTAACACCGTTTGCCTTCGCTCACACAGCATGTAATTGAGGCCTTTTTCCATAGAAAATATATACGCTCAGTCATTCAAAATAAGGACTGGGTACCATCACGAAAGAATAAACGCACTGACTCAGCTACTGGCTGAGTGCTCTGCTTTCAGTGACTTATTTACTTCCCAATCATTCGGCAATTATCAAATTGACCAGAAATTCATTTGACGATCTTCGGTCAGTTAGAATGTATTTTCAAAATATAGCGTTGATCAGGAATCACGTGGAAGATCTTCAAATGATCAGATATTGAAATTTAGTACTTGGGATAGTATCCACCAAATAGTGGGGATGGTTTTGTAGTGGTAAGCGTGATTGCCTCTCAATCCAGAAGGCCTGGGTTCAATCCAGTCAGCGCCGTCGGGATTTTCTGAGGTATAACATCTCTGATATTCGGAAGGGAAGTAAAGCCGGTGGCCCCCGGTCTATGAGTTAATGGGTCGATAGGTAGGGTGCAGGTGTGGAAGCTGCCTTCTTGGCGTCGATAGCATTGGTACTCAGTACGGAAAACAAGATTGACGGAAAACAAATCAGGGAAAAAAAAATTATCCCACCATGATCAGGAATTCTTCCGAATTATCAGGAATTGTATCGAAGACCTGCGACTGATCAGAAATTTAAATCCAGTTCTCCATATATTTCCTTGACAAATCAAATAGATCAGGATTTTTTTCGATGATATTCGGTCAGTTAGAATGCATTTTCAAAATATAGCGTTGATCAGGAATCACGTGGAAGATCTTCAAATGACAGATAATGAAAATAAATACTATGAATATTCTCTTATCGTATCAGGTAGACCAGGAATTCTTCCGAAACATCAGAAAAAATATAGAAACCCTACGACTGATCGGAAATTGAAATCGAGTTCTCCATATATTTCCTTATCAAATCAAATTGATTAAAAATTCTACTGAACAAGTCCTGCACAATTTGATATGATGAGGGAATATAAGGAGAACTCGAGTTCAATTTTCTATTAGTCGAAGGTCTTCGATATAATTTCTGATAATTCTGGAGAATTTCGGGTCTACCTGATATGATGAGAGAATATTCAAAAGAATTTAATTTCAATTTCTAGGCATTTGAAGATCTTCGACATGATTCCTCATCAACCCTATATTTTTAAAATACATTCTAACGGATCGAAGTTCTTTAGAAGAATTTTTGATCACGTTGTCATGATGAGGGAATATACGGAGAGCTCGATTACAGTTTCCTATTAGTCGAAGGTCTTCTATATAATTTCTGATAATTCGGAAGAATTCCTAATGAACCTGATATTGTGGAATAATATTCAAAGGATTTAATTTCAATATCTGATAATTTGAAGATCTTCGACATGATTCCTCATCAACCCTATATTTTGAAAACACATTCTAACTAACCGAAGAGCATCAGAAGAATTTCTGATCAATTTGATATGACACGGAAATATATGGAGAACTCGATTTCACTTTCCGATCAGTCAAAGGTCTTCGATATAATTTCTGATAATTCAAACAAGCGAACAAGGACACGCGCACCTACGAACATGTGATCCGGTAGCAAAGGAACAAGAAAATGTGGTAACGTGGTAAAACGAATGCCCCAAATTGCTGATTGCTTTTTTACTAAGGCCGTGACGAATTTAGAGTGAGAATGTTTGGCGCATTATTTGAAAATTGAAAGTTTTAAAAGCATATGTTCATGTATATACACACTTAAACAGAGACCCTGAGTTCGGTAAAAAAATTACCGTCTTAGATCGGTAATGCTAAAAATTACAGATGTTTCGGTATTTCTCGCTTTATTGCTGAAATGACCGAATTTCGCAAACCGGAAACCGGTAAACCGGTAGACCGGCATATTTTCCGTAAGTAATTAATTTTCGTTATCTAAATAAATATCGATTACAGATGGCTGATGTTGTTGCTTTTTTTTCTGTCGGTCCAAGTTCCATTCCCGTTGGCGACGATCTGAAAACAACATTTGGAATCTTCATCCAATGCTTCCCTGTTTTCAGTGTAGCGCCGAATCCTTCCGACAACTGCAACACTAAAGGTATAAGTACACGAGACAAATATTTGTCTTAATTTGACAGATACATTAAATGTATCAGTCAAATTAAGACAAATATTTGTCTCGTGTACTAATACCTTAACACATTGATCACGACTGCAGTCAAATTTTTGCAGGGTTGCAATTGGTACCGCCACCTTTAAACAATATTAAAGCAAATTACAGTTGAGTCGGTTACCTTTTTGAAACATTACAGTTCTCCGGTAAAGTCGACTATAAATCAAACAATGAACATCGGTAAATTTGACAGCTAATTTTGCTGATCCAGTTTACGGATTTTTCGGTAATGTTCTCGATTACCGAAAACATTACCGACCGTTCAGCTGTTGAGAATTCGGTAAATGAATTACCGAAGTCGGTGATTTTTTCTAAGTGTGTACCCTCATATTCGGCATACATAGGCGTAGCCATAGGGGACAGGCTTTCGGTGAAATGGCATTTGGCCACATTTTCCATAGTATTTTTTTCGCCCCTCCCTAGCTCGAAACCTGGATACGCCTTTGTATGCATAGTCTACAATTTTGATTAATTTTGAAGAGTCCATTATGCAGATACGCTCACAGTGAATCGTCATATCAAGATACAACCAGAATTAGGGCGTAATGTCTTGAAAGTCAATGCTCGCCCACACTAATCAACAACACCATCAGGTAGGGTAAGATTTCCCCTACCCGACGGAAATAATGGTTTGCGTGGGCGTGACTTGAATTCCTAAAAATCATCGAGAAAAGTCATTGTTGTTTACAAAAGCTGTTACGCCCTTATTCCAGCTCTATCAAGATATGTAAAAAAAAAACAAAGAAATCATTTTCAATCAAGCAGATGCGTCAAGTTTCTAATAGTGAATTTGTTTATTATCCAGTTCCAACCTGGATCGGGTATCAAGATCGGCTCTGCTTGTTTTCTGACAAAAAATGTAAGTTTGATCGTTTGATTTTAAAACCTACTTTTTTTTTTCCTTTGGTTTGTTTTTTCCGTCGATCTTGTTTTCCGTGCTGAGCACCAATGCTACCGACGTGCTAGGAAGGCAGCTCCCACACCTAGACCCTACCTATCGACCAATCAACTCATGAACCGGGGACCAACGGCTTTACTTCCCATCCGAAGGAAGGCGTGATCAGAGATGTTATGCCTCAGAACATCCCGGCGGCGCCGACTGGGATTGAACCCAGGCCTGCTGGGGTGAGAGGAAATCACGCTTACCACTACACCACCGGTGCCGTTTAGGTTGAGGTTCGCACTGACAAAAAAAAATCGATTCCAACCCCGATAATAAACAAATCAGCTAGAAGGCTGTGAACCATTCGCATCGCAGAGTTAAATTTATCTCGTGATTAAAAGTGACATTTCGAAAGTTATTTTCTATGTTCGAAAATCAGGTGTTCACTCGGCTGTCGACAAAAGCAGACCACTTGCCACGCGATCGTCTGTTTTCTCGGCAGCAACCATTGTGTGGACCTCCTCATTGTTCTTCATCAGCAGTTCTTTCGGTCGATGGGACGTCGACTTAGGAAAGCAACCGTTTCGTGATGAGTGTTTGAGTGCTGCAATGGAAGCGCTTTGCCCCACGATGGCGTAAATGCCATACCATGAAACCACTGGAAGCGGCTCCAGTTCTGATGGAAGAGGCTTTTTGGATAGCGGAAGATAAAGTCGACAGTGAGCATTCATAAGGGCGTATACGCGATGATCGATTCTCTTAATCGATTTTCTCTTTTGTTAATAACTCGCTAGATTTAACGTTTGTCGGTGCGTTTGCTGTTGCTTTTGATAGCCAATGCAACCTGTTACAACTCTACATTGAATAAATTCTACAAAATTGTTTCGCTTAGCTGTAGCAATGCAAAGAGAAAATCGATGAAGAGAATCGATCATCGCGTATAGGCCCTTATGCATGCTCACTGTCGAAGTGTTTATTGTGTTGTACCTTTTGACTATAGTTTTAAGATGTATTGTATAGTGACCAAGAATCCTCGGCTCTGTAAAAGTAATTCGGTGTAGCCGTATCAAATTAATGAACAAAAAAAAATGTTCGAAAATCCCCGTGCTGTCGATCGACCTGTTTTGCCACGGTTGTCAAAATTTAACTTCTTGTCTGTCAGAAATAACCACGCTCGGATAGCAGAGTTAATCGATAACTTTCCATCTGTCAAATTTTCCTCTCCACCCAGCAGCCCTGGGTTCAATCCCAGTCGGCGCCGCAGGGATGTTCTGAGGCATAATATCTATGATCACGCCTTCCTTCGGAAGGGAAGTAAAGCCGTTGGTCCCGGTTCATGAGTTGATGGGTCGATAGGTAAGGCCCAGGTGTGGGAGCTGCCTTCCTGGCATTGGTGCTCAGCACGAAAAACAAGATTGACGGAAAACAAATCAAGGGAAAAAATCTGACAAATTTTAACCAAAAGTTAAAAAATCTCGAAGAATTCGCCAAATGGCTCAGAGCCTAAGGCTGTGAACTAGCCTGTGAACCATTTGCCGAGTAAAAGTTAACTCTTGGTTAAAAGTGACATTTCGAAAGTTATTTCTGTGTTACCGATCAATCGGTTTTCGAGCAGAACTAAGCGACGGTTGTCAAAATTTAACTTCTTGTCTGTCAGAAATAACCACGCTCCGATAGCAGGGTTATAACCAAGGAATCAAAAATATCTCCAAATGACAAAATAACAAGCGATCAACGAACCGAATAATAACGCAATGTCAGAAGTGGAAAACAATAATGATATAATCTTCACCGTTCTTTGTCATGACAAGCAGCTCGTGCGACCCAACTCATTCGGGGCGGTAGAAGGAAACGAGCAAATTATTGGCAAGCTGCTTCACGAAGTAAAGCCGAAGATGATACACGTGTGTTAATGGGAATTTTTTTGTTATGTCTTTTCTCGATTCATATCAAGCTATGTCCTCATCCGTGTATATTGCAACAAAGCAGGCAAGCAATATATCATTATCCTTCTACCACTCGGATCGAGCTTTGTTACAGAGCGAGTTTGTCATGGTAGTCGTAGCAACCGTTTTGTCTGTATCGTTGGTTGCTTTATGTATTTGAATTCGCTGGTTATAACCGATCGATATATAATCGATAAGTTTCCATCTGTCAAATTTTAACCAAAAAAAATCCGCCAGATGGTTCAGAGCCTAAGTAGATACAAAATGGATGTTAACGGGATTCAGCTACTAGGGTTTAAGAACATAAATATTATAAATATTTTTTTAGATGCAGCCACCCAGCTTGATGAGTCACAGCAGTTTGCTTCTGCACATATTCCCAGCGCAACAGACAGTATCCCTTGCAGTATCCTTATTCCTTTCCGAGTTATCGACGTACCTTCACTGCAAAACTAAAACCGGTGTATCTGATCTGACGCATGTGCAAAACGATCTGTCAAATCGACGAATCATGCAGGGTGTATGTAACAATCAAGAGGTGGTACCGACGAATCAATCAAGGTGTATCATTTTGTTTTATCTAAAGTTTGCGAAACTCCAAGATTTTTCATATTTCCCTTAAACGTCATCCCTTTATCCAACTTATAGTAGAAACAGGTTTAAACAATAGCATTAGCTTTTAAATAGGATTTAATAATCTCATATGGACATTGCTGTCCTATATGTATGTTTCAATTTTCAAAATTCTTAATGCATCATTATGAACTAAAATGTATTATTATGATTTTATGACTAAATCCTTATGAAATACATACGAATTGATTTGCCCAAGAAATTTGATTTCATAATGTGTGACATTGAACATCATGAAAATTCCTTGTGGCTAAATTTCAAAAGGTATTTTAATGAATATCTTATATGCATTTTTCTGCGTGTATGTATCGAATTTCCTATCCAATGTTACATACGTCCTTTTGAAAAGTTTAGCTTGAATTGTAGATTAAATTTCAAGAGTTTTTTTTTTGGAGGGAATCCCTAAAGTGTTCTGCACAAAATTCCGACTTTTACGGAGAAAATTTCTAGGGATTACCGGACCGAATCTTTAGATTATTGAAACGGGCGATTAGCGTTGTGCTCTACCTTTAGTCGAGATCTTGATCCGCACTCGCGAGCCTCGCAAACAATTCCAGCATCCGGAATAGATGGCCTTCCATGTCCCCGTTGTCGGAAAACTTGGCTTCTTTAGGTACGACACACCGGTGGACATCGTCGTTTTCTGGTGACATTTCTTCAAATTCTTCCCAGGCCCATGGGGATCAGCAGGTACTGCCTGTAGTCTACGAGCAAAACGATGGTGATCCGTGCTTTGGCATCTTCTTCTTTCCACACGTTCGTTAGAGGTTCTGGATCGGCCTCCGTAACGTGCTCCAAAGATTTTCTCTCACCAACAGTATTTTCACCTTGAATTACCAAACATTCGTATCCGCTTTTCCACGCAAAACGTGATTCCGTCCATACCGGGATCGTGAAAAAATGTTCATTATACAGCGAAAAAAAAAAACATTGACTTGAATAACTTCTTGAATTTTCTTCACTATGCAATAACAACATGTGAAAAGAGCACACAAACTTTTTGTAAACAAACCTTCTCATGCCCTTTTCTTGCCACCCATATGCCACCAACGCAACCCATCAACGTTACCGGGTAGGGAAAATTTTCCCCTTCCTGATGTTGTTCTTGGTTTGCGTGGGGGACCTCGGTTGATACGAAAAGAGCCTACAAAAGTTTGTTTTCAAAAAGCTTGTATGCCCTTTTCACATGTGTCATTATGGTCTACACACTTAATCTAGCTCGGTACATCTCCAACAGCCGATTATCTCTGCAAAATATCTGTTTGTTAGCTGATAGGTATCTCAGCAAAATGTTATTTGTTAGCAGAGTCTCGGCAATTGTTTTACTGAATCTCAGCAAAATAAATTGCAGAATCACTCGGCTGTTGGAATCTCGGCGAAAAAAATTAAGTGTGTATAACCAGCCCCTAGGTCGGACCGAAGTACACTGGAAAAAGTGTTCATATAGTTTCCATTGGGAACGCACATGATATATTTCCAATAACAAAATTAATCATGATCTGAAATTCACATAACATTCACATGATCACATGAACTCTATGTGATAACTCACATAAACTTCAATGGACACATAAGGTTTATGTGATTTCGTGGTGCGATTCCCAATTATGAGATCACATGAAAGTTATGTGAAATTCTAATGGATATTTTCCATCGGAAATGTGATTTATTTTTTCAGTGTATGAAATGAACTTGTTTCATCAACCGTCAAGAACCAATTAAACAAAACACTTAGCAGCTAATTCATGGCTTGCTGGAGTCTTCAGTCGCTTCATCTTCAGCAATAGGGTGGTTCAAAATATCAAAAGTCAAAATTATTGAGTATTTTGCTGTTACCGTGACCAGAGCCAGATTTAGGATCCGGGCCCTTATCCTGATTGTAAGATAAGTTATTCTCATTGTTTCAATGTCAATCAAAACAATACACATCAGAGTTGGTTGGAAATGCTATATCTAACATGAAGCTTTAGTGTGATAATTTATTAGCTAGAGAATTATTATTATTATCACTCTAAAGCTTCGTGTTAGATAGCATTTCCAACCAACTCTGAAAATCGCAAACTTCGCGTATGACACAAGCAATTTTCTCAATGACCTTAATTTGCAATTAAGCAAAGCTTATTTGCTGAAAGATCTTTTACATAAACTCAACAATTGGTGATGAACAAGCTCAAATATTTTGGCAGACCAACTTATAAAACTAAATCAGAAGTTCCGAACTAAACTTTATGATTGAACGTAAAATTAAAATTATTTGCTTTAGCTGGAAAAATAAGATAAATTAAAAAAAAATACAACAAATATATGCTCAGATACATTGCCGGGCGGCCCTGGGCAATTGCGCCCCTCAAATCTGGTCATGACCATGATAGTGTTTGTTTGAAGTTTGTTGCAAATGTAAGTGTCTTAAAAATTCTTATGAGAAATGTATTTTTTTAATGCTAAAAAAAAATCAGGCCTTTTTGAAATTTCTCCAGGAATTTTGAGATTGTCCAAGATTTTTTTTGTTTCAAGGAAATTAGTAATAGTTGATATTTCCCCAAAGAACTTTTAATGGGATTTTTGTAGTTCGGGTAATTTTGAACAGAATTTTACTAATACTTCAGGAAATCCAAGGAACTCAAAATTTTCTCCGAACAATGTTGGATTTTTCTTTCTGCGAAATAAATCCAAAAACTTTCCTAGAAATCTGTCCATGTGTTTTGATTTTCCATATTTATAGGAATATGCTCTTCCATTTTTATTCATCTCAAAATATAGTTTTATACAACAACAAAAAAATACCTAACTTAGAGTACAACGCTGTCCAAACACTTGACAAAATGTATACATTTGAACCCACAATCGGTAACAGTCTTATTCCACGCCTCCAGACGGTCCTGAACAAATCCGTCCAATACAACACAACTGGGAATACTGAATGAAATCGTTGGTATAACATCACCGTCGCTCATCCCGCCAGAAGTCAACCCAACTTGAAACACCTCCAAGGGCAATCCTGCAAGGCAATTCTCGTCCGATTCAGCGACATCATACCAATAAACGATCGGATAGCCAATTAGAATACCGAAAACGGTTGGAAAACACGCTGAACTAGGCGCCAGGTGTATGGTCCAAATTTGACCCGGCTGAGTAAACTCAATTTGTTGACATACTTCATCAAACATATTTTGAATCAATAAAGATTCCTCACACGATTTAGATACAACACTCGGCGCCGACAAACATTTAGATATATTAACGAAACAGAAACGTTCAAATTTAAGACTACCAATCGCTGTGGCATCGAGGATACCAAAATCATCGCCAATTTTAAATACAATCAGCGATTGTTGTACTAACTTAGCTTCTTTCAGCTTATCAAGCAAATCATTTACTGTTTCCGCCTGCAACAGCCCGATATCCCATACGAATCCCGTTTTCATCCCTTTGCCAATGAAAAGCAGCTGCTGTGCCAGCTTCTCTATTCTATGCCCAGTCCACAATCTCCTAGAAAGTGTCCCCTTCAGAAAACTTCGTAATGCTTCCATGTCATAAACTAAAAAAATGTTTCGTGTTTTAAGAAAAACGAAAAAAAAATCAACAAGACCAACAAAAAAACAACAGCACTTACCGTTGCAGCCGCACTCCGGTTTCGTTCAGTAGCTCCGGATGTTCCGGGAACAGCTCCAAGCCCTGTTCGATGACCTCGAACACCTGCTGGAACTTTTCCTCCAGCTCCAGCTGGTCAGCGTACTTGCTGACCACGAACAGGAGCAATTCCTCCAGCGAGTCCTTGTCCTCGGTGGGTGCCCTGGGTGCTTCCGCCAGTTCCGGTGTCTTTTTCTGCAGAATCTTCTGCAGAGCACCGAAAGCCTTGCGAAACTTGGCGCGGGTTACAAAATCGTACACCACTTTCAGTTCTCCTACCAGAATTTCCTCATCACTGCTCATCTTCCCTTTCTCAAAACGTAAACCGGGGCCTCCCGTCTCGTAAGGATGTGTGATTGATAAAACAATGAACTTTTCTTCGACAGCACCGAATAACGGTTCGATTTGGCTTGGTCTAGCGATCCATTTGTGGAAGGCGACTTTTTCTCACACTATTAACTGCAGACGCTGTTTTACATTCGACACCAATAAATTGTCCCGGAAAACAGAAAAATCGATTTTTGAATCTCGTCTCGTTGGTTGGTGCGTTTTGTGCATCCTGTGCGTGCGCGGGGAGCAGCCGGGCGTCGAGCCAAGACCACGGGAGAGTGAGAGAAGATGATCTGTCATCAATTTCAAGGTCGCGGACGCCAGTTTGTCAACAGAGAACGTGGATTCAGGCGGTTGGTCGAAAGCTTTTCGAACAACTATTTTCTTTCGAAAAACTCAACCCGTTTCGCACAGGTCTCGACCATCAATTGAAAAGGGACTAGCAAATTTTTTAACAAAACATTGTAAAGCCCTTGCCTCGCAAACCGAAGGCCGTCCACGCACGCCTCGGTCCACACAAACTAATAGTCCTCTCCAGGCGGGTTCGTATTGGTGCGATTTGCGTGTGTTAGTGAGATGAATTTTTTTGTTAGCTGTGAGAAATTTTTTGTTTGCTGTAAGAACTGTCATTCTAAAGTAAACATAAACAACAAAACGAAAACAAAGCCTACGCTTGCGCGGTAACAGTCAAGTACCCTTTTGTGAGTAAAGGTTAACCCATTTTTGATAAAGGTGGTTTTACTCACTAATGAATAAATTATTTTAACAACAATGAGTTTCTGCTAACAGTAGCTAACAGTTACTACTTAATTGGCATAATGAACTACTCATTAATTAGTGGTGCCACTTTTATTGACAATGGGTTCACTTTTACTCATAAATGGATGTTTGATTCTTACCGTGCACAAGACAGTATACGCTAGTGTGTGAAAAATTATGTTTTTAGTGTAGTGTTCGTGAGATCCTGCTTGGAGAACTCAATGGCATCATCTTTAGACCAAATGATGAATTTCACGAGGGGCGAAGGGGCGATATTTCATATACCACCCGCATCAATGCGTTGCTAAAGCTAATTTAGCAACCTCCACCATAACGCAGCAACCACACCGGGGGTTGCTCTTCATGTGCGGGAAATAACAATGTGCCTCTCGGTGAACAGCGGGTTATCTAATTTGGTGACGCGATAGTGACCGACCCAAGCGTTGCTATTTGTTAAGTGTAATTTTTGTTTGTTATTTAAAAATTGTTAAAAAATCACTTGTAATGATGATTTATGAATGTCAACAAAATTGGCCGCGAAAAAACAGTGCCACAGCCAGGGGGTAAGTCACTCTGCCACCTTGTGTCTGTGCTTATTGTGTTTCCAGTGTGTTTTTGGGTGTCGGAAGGTGTTTCATCGTTTTGACCGATCTGTCAAAACTTCAACCGAAAAAATATATTTATTGGCAACCATATCCTCAACCATAACAACATAACGCTGATAATGACAGATCCTCCTGTGACTCCTTTGTTGTTGTTTGTGTGCAGATTAATTCATGGAACGAGCATTGACCCTCTCACTTGAGGAGGATGACGAAATGGGCGCCTAACCTGGCTCCTGATGAAGTGCTCACTCTCAAGGGCGCCTTCAGTCAGGCTGAAAAGCACAACTGGTTTATACGGTTTATGAACAGTATCCCGGAAATACCGCCGAAAAATATTTATGGAAACGAAAGGAATAGGCTCTTCCTATCACGTCTTCTGATTTGTGAATACGGCAAGGCGGAAGCGAATTTCAGAAGCGACAACATTTCTACCATTTAGATTCTGAAGGATTTTATTATGAAGGAAGCCACCAAGAAACGGATCAAGTTGGAAATTTCAACCAGTAAGTAACAACTTTCAACAAATTCGATTTGATTGATAACAGCGTAGCACCCATTTTCAGATATCAACGAGCAAACCTTTTCCGGATTAATCAAGTTGATCGAGCCAAAGATCGTTCACTACAACAAGCTGACGAAGGACCACCAGATGCTGCAGGCACTGATTGATTTGGACATTCGAAACGATGAACCGTATCTTCGAGATTCTGACCGATATGTACATCGATAATTTAAAGTTCAAAAGGGTCAATGTGAATACGAAACTGCCACAGTTGACAGACCTGCTGGAGAATTATAACTATGCCGAGTTGGTCAATTTCTACAGTGTCGTGAAAGCGGTTGATGATGAGTAAATAAATTGGTATTTTAAATAAATCCACATTTCGGGGACACATTTCGGATGAAGTAAAGTCGATTAATGGTCTAAATATTCATTCTTTTCTAAAAATAACACAACAATTCCCCTGGTCATAGTAACTACCTTCCACGCTAATCCAATCCACCACCAAACACAATTCGGACGCATGGTAATACCTGAGAAAAGTTACCTTCGCTTCCTGCTGCTGCCGTTCTATGTCACGCAACTTCCAAGGAACCAGCAAATCCTGATGCTGGAACTGCGTCCTTTTGGTGGGAATCGGCAGCACCGATTCCCCGTCGCCATTTTCAATCGAAACCACCTTCTCCGGCTCTCCATTCCGCGGTGGTTTATTGTTGTGCTTGTTCTACCGTATATAGCCTGATTGTCTTTCTTAAATCAGTGCCCGTCCTCCTGGGCGAAGTACTCGACACATTTCCCCAATCGCTTGCCTATGACGTTCCCGCGATGCCAGGTGATGCATAACGGCTATGCAAATACAAGCATCCGCACATGCCGCTTTAAAAGGTAACGCTAGGCAGTCGAATTGTACCACAAATGAAGCCACGGGCGGTGCAAACTTTCAATAATCCGTCGCTCCGAGCGCAGCCCGAGCCGATGATCTGAAGATTCAACACCAGGTATTTACCATTACCGCATCCAATGTTCAGCAGGACGGACCCGGGACTAAGCGATTCCAAGAACCCTGTAATTCGTGGCCACGACGAGTGCCTCCAGCTCCAATTGGGCAGTGTTCTCTTTGATACGATCAACTCTATCTTCTTGTTGATACGTTTCACACAGAGAACTAAACTGACAACGGCAAGGGCCATCATTCAACTTTCTGAACGTAAACGATACTCATTATTCACTTTCCTAATTGTTAGGCTGTCATTCAACCTTACCGTATCCATCTTTCTCAGCGTTATTCCAAGACTCCATCCGTATCGACTTTCGCCGGACATTACGAGCAGAGACCTTTGGGACAAATTCACATTCAGGTCGGTGGGATTTTTCTGAGGCATAAAAATCTCTGGTCACGTCTTCCTTCGGAAGGGAAGTAAAGCTGTTGGTCCCGGCCCATGTGTGTTGAATTGAATGGGTGCGATATCCTACGCAGGTGTGGAAGCTGCCTTCCTGCACATTCGATTGCCGTCAATGGATGGCAATCGATGTCCGTCGGTGATTGGCACTAGATTGCGGAACAGAGACCGACGTTAAATAAAGGAAAGAACAAATCCACATTCAAGTGTTGTCCTGTGGTGTCCCGAAAATCCATTACTATATCACTTCCGACGGTATCGAGATTTGCCGATAATCCTCGTAATGAATCGTACCAATCTGGGGTCGAATCGTTGTAACTGTAAGCAACAACAACAATAACAAAATAATAATCGAATGTAAACATTATTTGCAGTGGTGCCAGAATTGAATAAAAAATGCTTATCATACGGTGGAAGGGTGTTTGTGGGTGTTTGAAGTGTGTCGAAGTGTGTTTCTGTGGGTGTTAGCACAATGTGGCAGAGTGACTTACCCCCTGCGCAACATCATACCCGACAAATTTCAATAAATACAGGCTTTTATTATTATTTCACTGGGAAGCAAGAGGAGCAGGAGGACGAGCAGTTCAAGGTTTTTTGTTAAAGCCGCACATCAATCCCGGACACTGCCATCGGAGGTCAATTTCACGGTAATTTCCGGATAAAAACCGTGTACGAATGCGCACGAGATTAAAAAATGGCTGACCGCGAAATCAGGGTGTGAGTTGGTTTTGACTCGGGTTTTGACGTTTGAAATAGAACGGCCAAAAATAGACTAACCGGTGCGTACACAGCAAAAAAAAATGTAATATCGATCAACGTAATTCAAGCTGATGTATGAAATAATGATGTAATAGCAAAAAGCAGAAACAATATTACATCAATCGATGTAATTTTGTTCGCAGAATCGATGTACATCGTACAATGTGATATTACGCAACCGATGGATTGACCTGGTTGCAGCAGTTTCGATGTAATATTCAACAACTTTTTTTGCTGTGTACGCACACAGTTTGATCTACTTTGGCTTGATCTTTTTAATTTTAGCTGGTTAAAATGTGACATAAATTTGGATCTAGATCAGACCACCGCTAAATATGCCTTTACCCATTAGATGAGGAGGGGCACTTTTAGCGGAAATGGGTGTTTTTATACCCATTAATGGGTTTTTGTGAAACACCGTGCAGATGATTTATAAAAACAAGTATGCTTTTCGAAATTTATACAACATAATTGGTTCACAGCCTAAAATAGTTGACGAAGTGTGACGTCAAGCTCCGTCATCCACTTAAACGATTTTAACAACGGAAAGAGACGCTAAATTCACTAGGTTAACGTTAAACCATGGTGGTGGCGAGATGGACCGTGAGCGGTCTTAGCCGTCCAAAATAAGGACAACACAAAGAAAAAAAAAACCATGGTGGGTATATAAATGGTGATACAGCTTTGTCACTATTCAGGCGAGGAGGTCCTGGGCGAGGGGGGCGACACATCTAAATCTCAAGTCTAGATGCTCAACAAATCTCCCACTTGCGAATCAATCTTCGAAAAATCTTCTTTCATTTTCTCGCATCTACTTGCATCGCGCATCATCTTTTTGCAGGAAATCTTCAGAATCGTCGTCAATCTTCTTTCTATCTACTCAGTGTGCACACAGCTAGCCACAGCAAATCACAATCTTTCCTGCATCGTAGATAGAGTCGTCCCCCTCGGTCGCGGGGAGGAAAAGTGCAGTTTTAGAGCAAATTGCAAACAAACTCGGTCGCTGTCCCATACAAAAATCCAACATGACTGAATCATGAATTTGACATATTAGAACCTGTTAAACCTGTTTACATTAATTCTCGTGTCACTATTCAAATAGACCAATGTAACAAATGTTAACAAATCGAGTTAAGCGATACAAACTATTGCTCTTCAATCATTGTACGTGATACAAAAACATCCATCCAAATTTACTTTCATTTATTTAAAATAATCATTAATCAAAAATTGTCCAATGTACAGTTTGAAATGATGGGTATATGATTGTTACTTCGGTCATTCGGGCCTAACATGATTGGTGCTCATTTTTCAAAGGCGGGGCCAATCTAAAGTTAGGTACTATACTCTGAAATATGTGAAAGGGAATCTAGTATCATGTAGACAAAACGTCCAATGTAACACTGATTGATTATTTCATTGAGAAAAATCGTCCAATGTAACATGTTCGATGTACAACTCGACTTGTCAAAACGTCCTATGTGGTTTTTTTTCTATGTTGTAGCATGAAATTCAAAGTAAAATCAACAATCAATATGAAACTATCGATTTGAAATTGGTTCACTTCTTGACTAGCCTATTGGTCCCAAGTAAACGATTAACGTACCCCATTCTAGTCGAAATTCTAGTACTACGCAATGTTTGTTTTGATTCGCTATGAAAGTTTGACAGATAAAATGAGGGGTTATTGGTTTTTCCTATGTTTCGAGGGGTGAATCGATTAGATTGGGACCGAAAAGAGTACCAGAGCTGAGCCAAAAAGTTGAGCACGTTATTTCGGAACCTTCTAGTCTTAGAGTTACCTCTATGGTAAAATTGTGATTTTACCGTTTCTTCTGAATTTTCAACGTTATTATACACTGACTACATTAAAAATAGTATTCTCGCGTCACTTTTCAAATAGACCAATGTAACATATCCACCATTTTGAGAAAATCGAAGTTGAAGTTAGACAGATTATTATTTTAACTGTTTAAAAACAATACATTTTGCAATACTATTTTTAATGTAGTCAGTGTATAATAACGTTGAAAATTCAGAAGAAACGGTAAAATCACAATTTTACTTTGAATTTCATGCTACAACATAGAAAAAACCACATAAGACGTTTTGACAAGTCAAGTTGTACATCGGAAATGTTGCATTGGACGATTTTTCTCAATGACATAATCAATCAGTGTTACATTGGACGTTTTGTCTACATGATACTAGATTCCCTTTCATAGATTTCAGAGTATGGTACCTAACTTTAGATTGGCCCCGCCTTTGGAAAATGAGCACCAATCATGTTAGGCAGTCCAAATGACCGAAGTAACAATCATATACCCATCATTTCAAACTGTACATTGGACAATTTTTGATCAATGATTATTTTAAATAATTGAAAGTTAATTTGGATGGATGTTTTTGTATCACGTACAATGATTGAAGAGCAATAGTTTGATTTGTCTATTTGAAAAGTGACGCGAGTATTGCAAAATGTATTGTTTTTAAACAGTTAAAATAATAATCTGTCTAACTTCAACTTCGATTTTCTCAAAATGGTGGATATGTTACATTGGTCTATTTGAAAAGTTACGCGAGAATTGCTACCCAACTATGGATCGTTCGAATTCGATTTCGAACTCCAAACCCCCGGCTGTACTCTCCGATCGGGCAACATTGGCGCGTTTCCCGACTAAAACACACGCACACCACCAAACGCAGTTGTTTCAGTTTTCGAACTATCAAACTGCTGCTTTTCTGCTCTTCTCGTTCGCTTTTCGTCCGTCAGTCAGTGTACAAAATCGGCCTCGCGCTTCGCACGTACCGTGTTTATAGGAAAAGAAAATACGTCTGCCGTCTGCTCCGCTGCTGTGGTTCTTGGGAAGGAAAGGAACCTTCCCCGCAGAACGAGAAGAAGAAGAAGACCTATAGTTGGAACGCGAGTCTCGCAGGAAGAAACAAAAAAAAAAGATCCCGTCGATTCGAAAACTCTTCTTGGTGCGTGTGTGTCTGCTTTTAGGAAATTATTGTTGTTTCCCCCGCGGGAGTGAATTTTGTGTGTGAATTTATTTCGGTGCAATTTTTGAGCAAAAGGACTCCTCTTCAGCGATCAGGGCAGCACCCGTTCCTGCCAGCTATGTGCAGCTAGTTGAATAATATGAACGGTGAGTTAGCAGCCCGGAATTTGTATGCGGTTTATTTGGGGCTCCTCTGCCGACGATTTTTTTTTTCACGGAACGACGGCGGTGGTGTGGTTTTCCGGATTGATGGATTTCGTCCCGTTTGGGGCGATTGGACCGGGTGAAAATAGACCGAATCCGAAAGAGCATAGCCCCGGCAGTGTTTTCCCGATGGAGGAGTAAACTTTCCTGCTGCGGTCGGAGGATTTTTCCCGTCCGGAAAATCGAAGCGCTAATTGATGGAAGGGGAAAGCATCATCACGCTTCTGTCGCTCCTCCTCCGTAGTTTCGCGTTCTCATCACTACTTTTTGCTGCTTGGTCTGCGCCGCTGTGTTGTGTGTTCCTTTATGTGTTTGTGGTGTTTTTCGTAGGGACTGGACGATTGCGACAGGTTTTTTTTTTCTTTTCTTTCTTTCCTGGTGGATTGAGAGGCTGCTGCCGTGCTTGGAATCCAGCAGGAAACGGAAGGATACCGTTTGCTGGCGGCCACCAGAAGCAACCATCAGTAGCACCGCGGTAGCGAGCAGAAATTGATTACTCCAGATCGGCAAAACAATTATCTTTTTACAATGTTTTGTATTATGTATTGATATGATTGTTTACAGAACATATTTCACGTAGGTTAGGAAAAGCAACAGCGACCGTTGCTGGATGTTACATTGTGCAACCCATGGTCATCAATAATTACGCAATGATCGATTAGCCGCCCTTTTTATTGTGTCGGATTATCTGCGTTTATGGGTAGTAAATTAGATAGTGTAGGTCTCTAAATGACATCCACTTTTCGCTAATGTCGAATCGAATTCCAAGAGAAACCTCTAGATAATTTTCGATAGAACTTTCCCTTGGATTTCTTCTCTGAATTATCTTCAAATTCCCATTCAAAGCTTTCTGGTTCTGGTCTGAAATATCTTGAAATTTTCTTAGGGATTATCTTAAACTCTCTTAAAATTCCCGGCAGCTCTTAGAATTGAAGTAATTCTCGATTACTTTTTCGAAGGGAAGTATCAGCTTTTGAAAACAATGCATTTGATCGTCGGGGAAAATTCCCCCTATCTGATGGTAGTATTAGCATGTGTAGGCGAGCTACCAGTTTCACCAAATCAACAACCAAATACATTGTTTACAAAAGCTGATACGTCCCTTCGAAAAAATAATCGAGAATTTCTGAACCTTCCGGTATTCTCTGAACGATGAGAACTTGCGGTTGCGAGAAAATTTTGGAACTCTTGAAAGTCCCTAAACATAATTCTACGGATACTTTCAGAACTCCTTCAGAAAAAAGGATTACAATGAGAAAAAATCCACTAGCACTTCAATGGAATTGGAGTTTGTTCTGACTGGAATTCCAAATTGATTTGTGAAATTCTAAGGAGAAACCGAGGGGGTGGGCGACTCTATCGAAAAAGCAGGGAAGACTTTGTTTTGCTGTCGTTGGAATGATTAGTGAACATTGAATTAAGATAAGATTTAATAAAGAATAAATTCTTATGAATGACATGACGGACAATCAACGCCGCAACTACGTTGATGAAAAAAAAAACTATTTGAAACAACCCTTACCACCAATGGAGGAACTGAAACAACGGCAACAGGAATCGCAAGTAGGATCCGGCAAGCAAGGTTGCAATTCGTCCCATAACTAGGTATCTTTCAATGAAATCCCTACCTAGTTCATGGTGGTTACTCAATCGGGAAAACAGGGAGCCGGGAATCGGAACCATTAGGGAAATGACCGGGAATTCGATTGCAATCTCAAAATATGTTTGTTTATATTTTGATCGAAGTCTGTTAACTTGTTAACAAGTTGTAGTTTTTCCTCTGTTTTTTATTTCAAGCTGAATATTGCATTAGGTCCTAAGTACCATTGATCGATTCTCTTCGTCGACTTTCTCTTTCACTAATAACTTGAGCACATAACCGTTTCTTTTTTATGCTTGATGTTGATCTTGTTGACAAGATGCTAGATAAAAGCTTCTTTTATCGATCTGTGTGCTGAAAATACCTGGGAATGTCTTTACATGGCCGTGGGAATAAAAATAGAAAGTGGACGAAGAGAATCTGTCAATGTTACTTAGGACCTAATGCAATGTTCAGCTTGATTTTCCTTAGCCTGGGATAGAAAAAAAAACAAAGTCCTTAGTATCAGGCATTTCAGTGTCTCATAGGGAAAGGAGGGGCATAGTAAGCTTCCTCTGGTTTAGTATTGGATTTCTTATGGTTTGAAACGAATTAATTGGTCAATAATTATGGTGATATTGAACTTACTGCCAATTCATTTAATTTGAACATTTAGAAGTTTGGAACTGGAGGGCGGGATGATTATTATGCCCCTCTTACCCCTTATTATTTATGTCCTGAGGTGGTTTGCCAATTAGACTTACATATAACTCCCCTTTGAAGAGTTTTCTTAGACCGAAATATTTTTTTTTTTTTTTGTTAACATGAAATCTTTCCAACTGTTTGAGGCTCCATAATTGTGCCCGGGGTCTTGAAAACTTAATTAAAACTTAAACTTAAATGTTTGAATTACCTAGATAATTTCAAGATTTATTTATATAAGATGTAATTCTTCATAGGATATCTAAAGAATTTTCTCTAAAATTTCCTTAGAATCACCCTAAGATGTCTTCAGAGTTGCTTTCAGGATTCCCCAGAATCATCTTATAATTCCTTCTGGCATTCTCGTGACGTCCGTAACAATCTTACTAATCTAGACTAACATTTGAAAGGGGTGGAAGAGCCATTATGTAAACAAACCTACAGCTCCTTTCTTCTCCACGGCACCCGAACCTTTAGTCAAGGAAGTCCATCATCACCCTGCTTTAGTTATCGTGATCGAAAATAATATTGTCCATGGTTTCACCAGCACTCCAAACGCTGTGTCATATGACTTCCGTAGAGCTGAACATCGCAGTATTGTCCATGTGCTGTCTAACCTGGATTGGGAGCATATTCTAGATCCTGTAGACGTCAACATTGCTGCACAAACCTTTTCTCACGTCTTGGCATATGTCATTGACAGACACGTTTCCAAAAAGATCATCCATATCGCGTCCCGTGGATGACGAAAGATCTTCGCTCGTTGAAAAGAGCTAAGAAGGCTGCTCTCAGAAGATTTACTAAACTCCGCACACTGCCGCTGAAATGCTACTATGTCAGACTCAACCACGAGTATAAGCGGTTAAGTCGTCTCTGTTTTCAACGCTATCAAAGGAGGATTCAACGGCGGCTAAAATCACACCCGAAATCCTTCTGGAACTTCGTAAATGAGCAACGCAGGGAAGTCGGCTTACCCTCTGCCATGATTTTTAATGGTGAAACTGCTGGCAATCAACAAGACATTTGCAACCTGTTCTCAGCCAAATTTGCTAGTGTGTTTGAAGACGAGCAACTCACCCGCCAATCTCATTACTTCCGCGGCCAGTAATGTTCCTTTGGTTAACCAAACACTCAGCATGGTCGAAGCCACTACGGATACGATTTCTAGAGCAGCATCTAAACTTAAGACTTCAGCTAAGACTGGACCCGATGTTATTCCGTCGATTATTCTTAAAAAGAACATCACTTGTCTTTTAGATCCACTGCGCCGCATATTCCAGCTCTCTCTTTCCAGCGGCATCTTTCCGTCTTGCTGGAAGACTGCAGATATGTTTCCTGTTCATAAAAAGGTAAGCAAACGCGACGTAAACAACTACCGGGGAATCACGTCGCTGAGTGCTGTATCAAAACTTTTTGAATTGGTTGTCATAGAGTCCCTAAATTCGCAATTCAAGCAATATCTAAGTATAGATCAACACGGATTCATAACTGGGCGTTCCACAACTACGAACCTGCTGTGCCTAACGTCTTACACCACAGACAGTTTGATTGCTCGGACCCAAACGGACGTTATCTACACAGATCTTACGGCAGCCTTCGATAAGCTGAACCACGAAATTGCGATCGCTAAGCTTGATAGGCTAGGGATCAGTGGAAATCTTTTGAGATGGTTTCGTTCATACCTCACGGAGCGGCAACTGACAGTAACTTTGGGTACTTTTCGCTCAGCAAGCTTCTGCGCAAAGTCCGGTATACCTCAGGGTAACCATCTGGGACCTTTGGTATTTCTCCTTTACAACGACGACGTTCACCATGTTATCACAAGGCCACGATTATCGTTTGCAGACGATCTGAAAGTTTGACATCTTTACTGACTGGTGTAGTCTAAACCGACTGGTGGTCAACCCAGTTAAGTGTACAATCATTACTTTCTCACGCAAGAAACAACCGATTATTTTCAACTACAAACTACTAGGCACAGCCTTACCTAACCTTACCTTACCTAACCTTACCTTACCTAAGGCCTTGTTGTCCTCTACTGTCTCCACTCTACTCGATTCATGGCCACACTTCGCCAGCCTCGTAGTCTGCAAAGGGTCCGCAGGTCGCCTTCTACTTGGTCGATCCACCTTGCCTGCTGCGCGCCTCTTGTTCTTGTTCCTGTTGGGTCGCTTTCTAGAACCATTTCACTTGGTCATCGTGCGGCATTCTTAAGACGTGCCCAGCCCACCGTATTCGCCCAATTTTTGCAATGTGGACGATGGATGGTTCTCCCAGCAGCTCGTGCAATCCGTGGTTCATTCGCCTCCTCCACGTTCCGTCATCCATCTCCACCGTAGATGGTACGCAACACCTTCCGTTCGAAAACACCAAGAGCGCGTTGGTTCTCCATGAGTATAGTCCAGATCCCGTGGCCGTAGAGGATCGCCGGTATAATCAGCGTCTGTAGATAGTCAACTTCATGCGGCGGCGAATTTTTTTTTACCGGAGCGTCCTCTGGAGCCCAATGCATAATGCGTCTTTGAATTTCTCTGCTGGTATCATTTTCGGCGGTCACCACCCAAATACAGGAACTCATCGACCACCTCGATTTCGCCACCGTTAATCTGAACTCGGGGTGGGAGACTAACATTGTCTTCCCTAGAATCTCTTTAACGGCGCC